TTGTAAACTTTAAAGATCTTTTTGGGTTAACAAAAGCCTAGTTGACATTTTTCCTATCCCTTTTGTTATTTATTTTTTTCGTAAATGCTTTTTTTTTTTTGCTTAAAATGACGAAAACTCCATTAAGTAATCACATTTTCCGGTTAAATAATTAACAAAATTAAGATGATGAGGGCAGATAATTGGTGAAATGATATGTGTGTGTGTTTTGTGTGTTTTTGGTACCCTAGATTGCGACTCGTTTCAGCACCGTCCGTAGAAGCTTTTGTATAGGCTTCGGGTTTCACTTCGCGCAATGGGCTTGGCACTCTGTAAATGCAACATCCTTGAGATCCCATCTTCGATAAGTCAAAATCTTTTGTATATTCTGCATCAAGTTTTGTAGTTATATATATAGTACAATATCAAACAATGACATTTGTATAAGCTACAGAGAAATTGAAAATAGAGCCGATGATTATATATAGCATACTGCGTTTAAATTCTATTTGATTTTTTTTTATATACTTATCATCTTAGTTCTCATCATATCTATGTTTATGGATAAAAAAATATCAAAGGCACAATCCTTTTTTTGTTAGAAAAGACACAATTCTAAGGAACAAGAACTTACAGTATTAAGAATTAGCTATGGAATGAGGATTTATCTTGCATATAAGTCTTTCAATATTTGTCTTTCTTTGATTTAGAGCAGGGATTCCTAATACATTGGGAGAATTTGACAGGGAGAAAGAGGATCGTATTCCATTAATAAAATTAAAAAAAATGGTGCAACTTGTGATTATAAAAACTTGGTCATATATTACAAATATAGACTTGGTTTATATGTACATATACACTATATACAATGTGGTTATTTATATAAATGGCCGGACCTAAGTTATGAGGTATTCATATTGGAGGACTCACGATTATTGGAGTGAATCAATTGACCTCATCAAACGGTTTTTATTCTATTCTAAGTACACTGTTTTGTGTATTAAATACCCCGGACGATTTAACTTGTGCCCGCAGTTTTTTCTTTTCAGTTTGTTAATTTTGTTTCTTTAATAAAACGTTTTTTACGACCTATTATGTAGAAAAAACTTATAATATTA